AAAAGACGATCAAATAAACGGCATCTTATGATGAATGCACTGATTGAAAATTTTGACTGACATCAGGTTGGAAAAAGTCAATTCACTCCAACTCTACATTTTTATTTGACATGCGTTAAAATGTTCAACTGAACCGCAGTCACTACATGTTTATTTGACCTAGTATTTATCACTCTCAATGAGGTATAGCTGATGGTTTATGTTCACACCTACATCAACAGCAGAGGCCGAGCGCACAAAACGTGTGCGTGTGTGTGTGTTTGTGTGCGTGTTCTGCGGTTTTTATTGCGGGTATATTTCTGCAAGATGCATTTGTCAGTATGGACAGTATGTCATGCATACAGTTACAGCACTCCGGAGAGCAGCAATGTATTACATAAAACTATATGCAAGAAACTGTTTTCAGATACTAACTGAGCGGTGCGCGTGCTTCTGAACAGCGTATACGGGAATATTTATCTGGTACACACTAGCGTGTAGCAGTCAAGTCTGGAATGTGTATTTTCTTCGTTGATGCGAAAACATTTTGCCAACTGATATTAGCAAAATTATCGTTCATTCGTTGTTAATACCAATGCAAATTCTGTGCATTGAGAGGCAGTGTCTGTATATTATTATTGTTATTTTGTTTAGCGAACTTCGGTGACTGTGAGCGTATTTACCTATCTCTATCTGTATATCTAGGCGCTTACGTTTGGGTGTTCTCGTGGTCACCCCCTTAACTTGGCGTGAACTAAAATTAGCACAGGAGGTTAAAAGGGTTTAACGAATATGGCGCGCTAGTCAAAACATGAATAATGTCGCTATCCCGTCGCATACGTCATCAAACACTTCCCGCAAGACAGTGGCACATACCAACGGGCAGGTATGTGCCGCTGGTATGTGGGTATGTGCCACAGGTGATGGACACCTAATATCAACCCAGGAGCGATGAGAACACACAACTGGCAATATTAACGTGCGAGCGTTAAGAAATGCTTGACATCGGTAGCGTCGACCCGACGAATACAAAAAAAAATGCCAGGGTCCCAGCTGAAATCCAAACCAAGCATTCTGCGTGGCAATGAAGCATTTTACCACAGAGCTACATACGCAGGTTCTCGGAACTACTTTTCAAATAGACCTTAATGTTCATGAAGCTTCAACAGTGGTTGCAATGCTGCCTACCCAATTTTATAAACATTACACATGGGCTCCTTTCGTATATCCGTCACGTCGGGTTAACGTCAATTGTGGTCACTTGCCATGCGCTGAAGTTCATTCATGTGGCAGTGTTCAGGATCCCCGCGAGCATCAGCGCTTCATATCAGCTTCTGGTGTTGCTAATACGTATTTTTCAGTTGGCATCGTTGCGCAAGTGCAAACAACTGGTTATATAAACATCTGCAACTCTTCAACGTATGTCTGTGCGAGCAACGTTTGCACATATGTTTAGCGTCATTTCATGACGTGTCACACAATAAAATAGCAACACGGTCACCTTACCTCCGACTGCTTCGTATAACGTCGATTCCCAGGTGCGTGGGGTCTGCAGAATGTTTTATTATTTTTTATTGAAAGTGTAGTAAACATGCGGATTGGACGCATCGTGGTAGCAGTTATACACGAAGACATTGCAGAATAGCCACGTCTTTCAAAGATTGGGCCCTTTTTCGCCTCAGGCTGTTGACCGTGGTGCGGTCGACCCACGTGTGGGGAGGAGTGCGGGTGTGGAATGATCAAAATCTCACTTGTCTGGTCGGTCTTTTTTTTTTTCTATTTTTTAGCAAGCCGAGAGTTGCACGTGCAGGAGCTAACGTGGAGGAACCATGACGAGCTGACGACCACCGAACGGGTGAAAAGGCGCCTGCACTCTCAGAAAAATGGTGGTAGTACTTGCTAACTTTGGAGTAGTGACGGTTTGTCACATATGTTACAACCCTGGTAGTAAGCGCAGTTAGTAACGGTGAGGGAGGTAATAGCTACTACCTTTGCTGTTACTACCAGCATTTAGTAACTGTTACTACCGTAGCCATTATCACCCATGGGTAGTAGGAAGCTTTAAAGGTTGCAAGAAAACAAGTATTAACCGATACTACCTTCCTTGTTTGTTCATTTTTACATATTATTTCTCCACCGCTTATGTTAATCAATGTCTTAATACTAGACAACTTCGGGTAATGAAGCGTGGTGTGCCATGACCGCGAATGAAAGGTACCCCTAACATGCTTATTGTTTTTTACCCATACATGTAGTATGCAGTAATCGTGGAGTACATGTAGCCCCTACTTTGCATGGGCATGTTTGACACAGGGGACCATTTGTGTTTCAGGACAGAATTACAACAAATTTTAATCTATAGCACCATAGTACACGACCTGGTTACGTGTGTTTGGTGACGTGGCACAAGACGTTTAATCAGGCTTACTTATAAAATATGTCATATTTATATTTAATAAAATGGCCACAAAAACATTATGTACAGTAGCCGTAACAAGGTACAAAACTTGTTTTCAGGGCATTTGAATGATTGACACGGCTAATATATCAGCGTTTAAAAGGTAATAATCGTTTTTGGGGTTTTACGCACCAAAACATTGATAATATTTGAAGACGCTGCAGTGAATTAATTGTGACCGTCATCGGGGCTAATTGTGACCGTCTGGATATTTCAATGAACCGATCTTGTTAATATTTGCTGCAATTCACTAAGTTTTTTGTAATTGTTTATTACAACACGTGTAGCGCTTGCTTATGGTTCGTTGCTTATGGTTCATTTCGACATTATCGGAATGACGTTTACATATCTCGGTTGCGTAATTTAAAACAAAATATATTCTCTTGATCTATATTATATCTTCTGCGTCATTATTCTGTTTATTAATATACGTCGAGACGATTCTTCTGATAAATTGTCAAATATGCATCACACACTATTTTGGCTCATCACACATTACAGCCGGGTAGCAAAATGGTAGTAACAGGGCAAGAAAGGCAGTAATGGCTGCATTTACTACCTCTTTCATTCCAGTTACTAACTGTTTACTAGCATATAGTAAACAGGTCGCAAAAAGTTAGTAACGGTTGCAGCTAGTAACTGTTTACTAACCTAGCTAGTAAACAGGTAGCAGAAGGGTAGCAACGGTCCAATAAAGGTGGTAACCGCTGCAGTTACTCCCTATTTGCTTGCAGTTGCTACATTTTTACTAACTTTTTTAAGAGTGTGGGCCCTTTAACTGTTGCAATTAAGAAAATAAAGGAGAGAATAATAATTTGTAGAATGTTTAACATTTCGTTTTGAAAATTTGAAACTTAGTTCTCAAACAAGCTTCACAGTATTAGCTGCCAGTTACACCCGTGTGAAGTGTAAATTTGAGATGGCCGGTTTGCGCTTGTTGTGCATCCCTCCACACCGCCCTTCTTTTTTCTCAATCGCTCACCGGAGTCACACGTGCGGCTCGTGTTCGTCCCTCGTGATTTTTCTTGCTCTGATTTCGGGTAGAGTGAGTGCCGCGATTTACGCAGACCATCTGCTCAAAGGCGAAAAAGCTACTGATGTGATACAATTGTTACGGTACCTCAACATTTGTGTCGGCAGCACGTACGGCTGTTCATCTTCCTCCTTAAAAATGGACACCTCGCTTACATGGAAAACTCTAGTGCAGCTTTCTTTCTGCAAACTGCAAAAATAGACGCCGCCTATACATTCTGCCAAATGCAGAATAGACGCGAAAAGTTGAAGTACAAAAGGAAGGCAACCTGGACACAGCGTACACTAACAACTGGGACTTTATTGGAAAAAACAGATCTATATATAAACGGTGACGAGAACACGTACAGTGATAGAAATAATTAGAAGAGCAAACATATTGTATTTTAATAATGCGTTTCAGCTTTTCTGGAAGCGCACTCTACATTTTGTTTAGAAGGCACTCAACGGCTTTCTAGTACGATATTGAACCAATCATATCTTCATGTGGTATCTCTGAGGTGATGCCATCATTTCAATTTCACTACTTCTTACACGGATCACGTCGTGCAGTGCCTTCAGCCGGTACATCAACTTCGTTTTTTTTTCTTTCTCGCATTTCTCTTTACACCTCACAGTTGTTATCTGGATACTTACTACTTTTTACTCGTATGCCGCTATAACACGTATTGCACCGCACAGAACCACGAGCATGATGTTGTTCCTCCTTTGCACTGGTTGCTTTGCGAGACAGCCTGGATAAATTTCAAAGATATTTAGAGCGTGGAACGACACCACAGACAAAAAAGCCCAAAAGATACACAGCACTTCGTGTGTCTCATGTTCCATAATTCACTGTGGTGTCATTCTGCGCTGTATAGAAACAAACCACCAAATATATTGCTTTGTGAAACTTGGCTGCAGCCAGTGCGGACACAGCCGACCTTTTTTATCTATAGAACACTAGTATTCTGAGTGGAAATCGAGCTTGAGATACCGTTTATTCAGAATGAACAACATAGTTACGTTTCAAAGTCGATGGCCTTTTTGGGGATAGTTGAACACAGAAATCTTGGTCTGTCTGCCTGTCTGTCTCTCTGTCAGACAATTCAGCCAGTCTGCCGAAGTTTAAGACTTGCTGAACGCCCAATCACCCTTCGCTGGTGGCGGCCTTCATACACGTGAACATTTTTGATCAAAAAGCAAATATTACGCATATCTGAGGCGCCGCGTGAATGCGCAAGTATTAGGCGGCGTGATCGTTTACCATAAAGTCTATTGATACATAATTAGGACAGTAGTGTTCCTTACACTGCGCTGAAAATGCGACGCTTTGCACAAAAAAGCCCCCTGCCGGCGATATGTGATGCCACCTGGAAGTACGGAAATGGTACGACAACAGCATCTCGGGTGGCTGCGTATGCGACCAGGACTCATGTAGTACGGCCAGCAAAATACAATTGACATTCGATGATATCTGCAGCAAAGCACGTAGATTAGTGGGCAATTTTTTTTTTCATTTAAAAACACGTAAATAACACACTAGGACATATAGCTTTGTGTAGCGGTAAAGCTTTATTGTTGATGCAACATTCTCAGACATTTCAAGAAATAAATCTTTGGCAGTTGTGCGAAAGGTGCACGTTCTCTACCATTAACGCTGTTCTTCATGGTTAGCTCGGTGCCGGATGTGAAGGAGGAAGAAAACATACGCTCGAGATTCCTCGATCATTATCAGCCTATCTGGCAGGTTCCTGATCGGCCAGCTGCTGCCAATATCTCATCTGCGCCTTGATGGCTTCCCATTCGGCGTCACTTGGCGTATGCTCGAATTCTATCCGAGCAGATTCCGCAGCGTCAGCGTCTCGGGCTGCTGTACGGTTGACCAGCGTCAGGGCAACAAGGGCTGCAATGTCGAAGATCAAGCTCAGTTAAAGAACGATGTCTTTGGTACTTGAATGCAGAAATTTAGGTCTGTCCGTCTGTGGACGAAAAGATATATTGTCGTTTGCAGAGACCATACCAGCGACCGTAGAAGAACTTTTCCAACGCTCGAGCAACTAAGCCTGGTCATCTTTTCGTCTGTTTTATGGGTATATGAGCATTTAAACTTGCTATTATTAGCGCCTCCAAAAGGCATGAAGGTTACTGTCGAAGGCTACCTTTCTCCCTGCTGGAGTCGTGAAGTGTGTGATCTTCTCATGAGTTGACAGTTGACCAATAATCACTCGCGTACTGCGCGGAGGCATTCAGTCTGCCTGAACGAGACCCCCCTCTTTGAATGTAGTGTCTGCTGTGCATACCCGTTAGAGCGAACAAGGAAATAATATGCGTGAAGTAGCACTCACAAAGCGCAGCAAACAATCGAATGAGTAAGTACTTTTAAGTAGAATTTTTGCACTCTGTTTAATTGATTGATTGATATGTGGGGTTTAACGTCCCAAAACCACCATAAGATTATGAGACACGCCGTAGTGGAGGGCTCCGGAAATTTCGACCACCTGAGGTTCTTTACCGTGCACCCATCTCTGAGCACACGGGCCTACAACATTTCCGCCTCCATCGGAAATGCAGCCGCCGCAGCCGGGGTTCGATCCCGCGACCTGCGGGTCAGCAGCCGAGTACCTTAGCCACTAGACCACCGCGGCGGGGCCACTCTGTTTAATTAAAAAGTTACAGAAATAACCTAAAAAGAACATCAGCTTACCGCAGCAAACAAGAAACAAGGCTACCAGACCTCGGCCCATGCCTTTTATAAACCTGCATGAAAAAAAATAGAAAAAAATTCGTCAGGCTATGTGATGAAACCTCATATTCAAGCTGCGTTGTTTAATTGAATAGAGCAAAGAAAACAGTCACCACCTCATTCCGGTGATGAAGCCAATGACCCGCCATTATTCGTTCGTATGTCATTTTCAGCGAGTTGAAATGACAGTGCTTTGTTTTGCAGTACAGCTATAAAGCCCCCTTTTTAGAAATACTTCCCTGAGTGTTCTGCTGATAATATTTATATTTAGATATTTCTCGTCAACTTGCTACTTTGCGCCAGTTTAGTTTATTTGCACCTGTACGCCAGTTTATTTTAGGATTTCTGGACGATCACATATTTCGCCTCTGCGGGTCTTAAGTAAAGCTTTCACAAAAGTGGGCCTTGTTGAGTAGTATAACTATAAATTAATAGTCGAATGTTACGTGGGAACAGGAGTACGTTTTAAGTTGTCTTTGCATTTAATATTCATACCCGTTCATCTCCGTATAAATGTGTGACGTGGCTTAATTGTGACCTAGCTGTTATCTCTGCACATCACTAAGCCATGGTTTTTTTTATTATGGTGTTTTAGGCCACCATCAGTCATCCATGACGTCCAATGCATTGAGTTCGATCAATTTTCGTTCGACCACTACTGATGTTTATGTCTAAGAATGAAGCATGAGAATCGCCAACACTCGTTGCTTGAGTGTAGCATGCAAACATCTAATTAGGTAAATCAAACTATAGATGCGTGGTACTCATCTATCTTAGGTTACAAATATAAGAATAGCAGATTACAGAGGCTAGCATAGATGATTGATTGATTGATATGTGCGGTTTAACGTCCCAAAACCACCATATAAATATGAGACACGTCGTAGTGGAGGGCATCGAAATTTCGGCCACCTGGGTTTCTTTGACGTGCACCCAAATCTGAGCACACGGGGCTACAACATTTCCGTTTCCATCAGAAATGCAGTCGCCGCAGCCGTGATTCGATCCCGTGACTTGCGAGTCAGCAGCCGAGTAGCTTAGCCACAAGACCACCGCGGCGAAGCCTAGCATAGATGAGAAACACACTGTATTGCCAAGCGAACGTTTCGACAAGCACTCTAGACATTCGTTGCTGCCTGAGGGCTGCACCTTCATTATGAAATCCAGGCAGCTCAGTACAGAACCAGCTTCTGTCAAAAGTTATATTCGAGATGGCTCGAAAAACTTATAGTACAATGTGGTATTGCGCGTCTTCAGCCGAGACATCCACAAGTACTTGTTAAAGAAACAGTGGTCATAGCCAACAAGACAAGAAGATCGTGAGACGGTTTAGGTGAAACTAGGCTCAATAAACTTCAGTGTCATATATGTGACAACTTCTGTGTTATATTTACGGTGGTGTTTAAAAGTGTGACACTCACTGCCGCGACTCGCCTTCATCACAGTGAGAGAGATGGTGATTCTTGATAGGAAGAGAAAACGGGGAAGCTGTTGATGGTGACTGTCGCTGAGGTGAGGACACCTCGACCATAACACACAGAATAATGGAATGGCACAAGAAGGGAATAGAAAGAGAGAGTTATTGGCGAAGGGAGGGGCAGAGACATCGTGTCGAGTTGCGCGTGTAAAAGGGAGACAAACGGCCGGGCATACGCGGCTCTATGCCATCCCCCTAATGGCTGACACTTTGGGACCACATCATTTTAGCATTATGCACCTAGCACACAGCGGCAAACCTATTTTGCAACCATGTCAGTTTTTACGTTACAGCGGCTTAGGACAAGCCCTTGCAGGCAGGTTTGAGCACGCTAAGACAAACAAGACAAATTTATGCATTTCTGGCTAGCCATGACGTACAAGTTTTTTTACCAGTCCTTCAGGGAAGCCGACCCGCATGTCAGTGCGAGGAGGTTGTGAAAGTTTTCTTTCTATTCCTTTAGGTCTGTACGTCATAATATATATTATACTATCTAGGGTTATCCCTCCAAAAACCACGATAGGATCACGAGGGATAGTGGAAGGCTCCAGAAATTTAGTCCGTCTGGTGTTGTTTAATGTGCACTGACATTGCACAGTACACAGGCCTCTATTATATCGCCGCTATCTAAATGAAACTTCCGCGGCTGGAATCGAACCCGCGACCAGCAGACGTGCACCGTAACAGCTCCACCACTGCGGATGACCCCGGCCGGCCTGCACTTTGAATTACGATGCAGTACTTCTTCCAGGAATGGGTCTCCATTCCTAAAATACTCCTACAGGCACCATTGCTGATAACTTCATCACGGCAAGACATGTAACCATACTTCCAGAATAGACTTAGTTTTGCAGCAAACTGCCAGGAAAACAAAAGTCAACATTTTTTTTTCGATGCCATATAGCCCCCAAGTGCCGTGAACTTTTAACTTACCGATCGGCTTCTCGAATATCAGTGGGATGTCTGTTAAGGTGCTCCTATTTAGTGAGAGTATAGCAGTGCGCATACCTCCCTTTATACTGCATTCAAGGTATTGCAAAACAGGATGACATGTATGCATAATTATCCAAGTATTTGGGAAGCAGGTGGTGAACCAAGCGATCGCCGAAAAACAGGAAACGTGGGGTTTAAATTGCCTCCAACGCTATTCGTGATTGAGGTATAAAGCCTTAACTGGTCGAATAAAAGAGAATGAGAGACGAGTTTGTTTCAAGAAGCAATTAAGCGAGGCACGTGCTTCGATTTATTTTTAACTTCCCATGATGTTCTTTTTTTCTGTCAAATGCAAAGCACGTATTCATTCTCTAGCCACATAGCTAAGGGTGCTCAGCCCTCTGATATACCTCTTTATTGAGCACAATATATTACTCTAAAATAGAGATCTTTTGCTCCATTTAGCCGTTGGCTGTCTATGCTTTGTAACTGTTTGCCGCCTGTCTTATTTGTGCTTGCGGGGTTGCATTTTTTTATTTTGTCGAATACCTTCTGACCTCGTCCGATGTTTTCATTCAGTTGGCGAGTATTTGAGTGCTGCGGAGTGTTCACTGTGGTTCTCAACCCGTTCGTCACGTCCGCTCCCAAACTTGACAAAATGCCGGCAGTTGGGCGTGGCCCTGCTCTTGTATCCGCCAGTTCCGTAAAATGGCTTCCAAATTACACGACACATCACGCTCCAGCTGAACCTCCCTCGCTTTCGACGGCGCCTTTCTTGTATTGTCGAGCAAGTATTGTTGTATATTATTGTTCTATCACTTTAAAATAACTACTGGTTGATAGCATTGCAAACCACGAGTTATATCACCGAGTGGGTTTTCAATGACCAGCATATCTTCAAAGGCAGAGAAGATTACTGCTGTCTCCGATTACTGCAGGGGTACCCATGGTGCTACTAGTAGAATTCGCACAACGCAATAATTTATGGATTTTGAATACCTTCTACCGAAAACGAGAAAACCGCAAGTGGACATGGAGAAGCCCTAATGGCGAAAATAAGAACGAAATAGACTTTATAATGAGTGCACACCCTGGAATCGTGCAGGATGTGGAAGTGGTTGGCAAGGTACGATGCAGTGACCATCTATAGAATGGTACGATCTCGCATTCGCCTAGACTTGAAGAAGGACCGACAGAAACTGATACGCAAGAAGCCAATCAACGAGCTAGCACTGAGAGGGAAATTACAGGAATTCAGAGTGTCGCTGCAGAACAGGTACTCGGCTCTTAGTGAGGAAACCAGCCTTAGCATAGATACAATGAATAATAATCTGACGAGTATCATTACGGAGTGTGCAGTGGAAGTTGGAGGCAGGGTAGTTAGACAGGACACTGGCAAGCTTTCCCAGGAAACGAAGAACCTAATTAAGAAGCGTCAAATCATGAAAGTGTCAAGTACAACAGACAAAATAGAACTAGCAGAGCTTTCGAAGTTGATTATTAGACGTAAGGTATGCGATGTAAGAAGGTATAACATGGAGATAATCGAACACGCTCTGAAAAACGAAGGAAGCGTCAAAGCAGTGAAGAGGAAACTTGGGATAGGCAAAAGTCGGAAATATGCACTAAGGGACAAAGAAGGCAAAATAACTACCAATATGGATAGGATAGTTAAAATAGCGGAGGAGTTTTACAGAGATCTGTACAGTAGCCGAGACAACCACGACCTTAATACTATAAGAACTAGCAGTAACCCAGATGACACCCCACCAGTAATGATAGAAGTAGTCAGAAAAGCTTTGGAGAGCATGCAAAGAGGCAAAGCTGCTGGTGAGAATCAGGTAACATCAGATATGCTGAAAGATGGAGGACAGATTGTGTTAGAAAACTAGCCACCCTGTTTACGAGGTGTCTCCTGACGGGAAGAGTACCATGAGTCTTGGAAGGACGCTAACATCATCTTAATACATAAGAAAGGAGATGACAATGACTTGAAAAATTACAGGACGATCAGCTTGCTCTCTGTAGTATACAAGCTATTTACCAAGGTAATTGCTAACAGAGTCAATAAAACATTAGAATTCAATCAACCAAAGGAACAAGCAGGATTTCGAACAGGCTACTGAACAATCGACTACATTCATACTATCAATCAGGTAATAGAGAAATGCTCAGAATATAACCAACCACTATACATAGCCTTCATAGATTACGAGAAGGCGTTTGATTCAGTAGAAATATCAGCCGTCATACAGACACTGCGGAATCAGGGCGTAGATGAAGTATATATAAACATTCCGGAAGAAATATATAGGGGATCAACTGCTACCATAGTGCTTCATAAAGAAAGCAACACAATACCAATAAAGAAGGGCGTAAGGCAGGGGGACACAATCTCCCCAATGCTATTTACCGCGTGCTTACAGGAGGTTTTCAGAAGCCTAGAATGGGAACAGTAAGGAATAAGAGTTAATGGAGAATACCTTAGTAACCTGCGCTTCGCCGATGACATTGCATTGCTGAGTAACTCAGGGGACGAATTGCAACTCATGATTACGGAGTTAGACAAGAAGAGCAGAAAGGTGGGTCTTAAAATTAATCTTCAGAAAAACAAAGTAATGTACAACAACCTCGGATAGGAGCAGCGCTTCGGGATGGGTAATAGTGCACTTGAAGTTGTAAAAGACTATGTCTACTTAGGGCAGGTAATAACCGCAGAGCCGAACCACGAGATTGAAGTAACTAGAAGAATAAGAATGGGGTGGAGCACATTCGGCAAGCACTCTCTAATTATGACAGGTAGATTGCCACTATCCCTCAAGAGGAAGGTATATAACAGATGTATCTTGCCGGTACTTAGCTACAGAGCAGAAACCTGGAGACTTACAAAGAGGGTTCAGCTTAAATTGAGGACGACGCAGCGAGCAATGGAAAGAAAAATGGTAGGTGTAACCTTAAGAGACAAGAAGAGAGCAGAGTGGATTAGGGGACAAACGGGGGTTAAGGATATCATAGTTGAAATAAAGAAGAGGAAATGGACATGGACCGGGAATGTAGCGCGTAGACAGGATAACCGCTGGTCATTAAGGGTGACTAACTGGATTCCCAGAAAAGGGAAGCGAATTAGGGGGAGACAGAAGGTTAGGTGAGCAGACGAGATTAAGAAGTTTGCGGGTATAAATTGGCAGCAGCAAGCACAGGACCGGGTTAACTGGCGGAACATGGGAGAGGTCTTTTTCCTGCAGTGGACGTAGTCAGGCTGATGATGATGATGATGATGATGATGATGATGATGATGATGATGATGATGATGATGACCCATGGCGCAGGAGAATATGTGGTTACGAACCTCTAGAAAATCCAAGAAATAACCTTTATTTCGCTTAGTCTGTGTGAAATCCCACACCAGTTGTTGCGGGTCCGAATACATTTAGTTCTTCACAGTCAGTCACGGAAAGTGACAACAGGGCACACGGGGCAGTGAACTTGATGAACGGGGTGAAGGGCCATAAAAGCGAGAAAACGCTTTCAAAGGAAAGGTATATTGCTTAATATTACCTAATGTTCCTATGCTATAGAATGAATGTGTGTAAATCAGGCTTACATACGGAAGAAAAAATTGGAGGAGGAGAATACGTCATAGTACTGCAAAGACAACAGTGAGCCTAGTGGCCACCTTTTGCTTTCATCCACACCTCACTTCGCTGACTCTTTCGCCCTCTTGCTATGGAAGGAAGGAAGAACAGCAACAAAGAAGGCCGGGAGGTTAACCAGGAACATGCCCGGTTGGATACCCTATGCTGAAGGAATAATAAAGGGGGTTGTAAAGATGAGAGAGAGGGGGCTGGGAAGAGATGGCAAAGACACGATAAAATTGTCAGTATAGGGGCTGACGCGTACGCCACGGTGGTACAAAAGTCAAAGGCATTCACATAGGCCCGTAGTTCTCAGAAGCGCAAAAAAACGGCAAAATGCGTGTATGCTAGGCTATACCCGTCTTCCCTGGCTCTTTTCTTCCTCATCACCCTCACTTCCTCATCTCCCTTGTAAGCCTGGTACGCTCCGTGGGTGGCGTCACCACTGTACGAGTGCGCAGCGCCACTTTGTCCTTGAAATGGCCCTGAAACGCTTTTTAAGGACCCATAGAGTGAATTCCCTGAAAGAGTTTAATGCCTCAAAAATTGAACGCCGCAAAAATTTTAAGAATCCGTTCTGTACGAGTAGAGCTACGAAGACTTTTCGCACGCTGCAATCGCATTCTCTGTTCTTCGTCCCGATGAAAGCACTGGAAGCTAAGCAGGGAGGGATGGCAGGGACAAAGAAAACACGTCACATGCGCCTCGCGACCTTGAGCACTGTTTTTTTTCTTCAAATACACGGCTTTTCAGAGTGATTGCACGCGCATGCGTGGACCAGTGGCGGCCTCTCGCGGCGATCCCTGTAACGACTGTGCCATCTTCAAATCAGTCAATGGCTAAGAGATAGCCTTCTACGAGTGATTTCTGGATGTCTTCCGCCATTTGTCGAGGGAAGAAAAAGCCATTTTAGCTGACTTCAACCATTTATGTGAATGCCAGGCCGTCTGCGGTGCTTCAATATATAGCTCGCGTGTTCTTGGGAGTCCCTGCTACTGATCGGCAGCGTTTCGTGACCATGCTCAAAAAGTGTTGCAGGGCCCTTTTAACACACATTTTGCCTTTGTTCCCTTCCCGGCCTGTAGCTCAAAACTGTGTGTGGTTAACATCAGTGCGCGAAAATGGCAACGCAAGTTGAGCCTCGTTTTTTGTTTAATGGTGACTAACGAGTATTTCATTTGTCATTTATGCTTCAAACAAGATACTTTCCTTCGTAATGGCCACATGTACCATTTCCCGCCGCCAGTCGAGCTTACTCCGTGGGAGCACCCTCACAATGTCGTCGGTCTATCGGAAACCTTCAGCAAGCACGTCGTACTAATGAAGAGCGCGCATGCAGTAGGACACCTATTTATAAGTGAGTAGACTGCGTTTTGCTGCTATGCATTCCTGGACAGGGCTAGGCTGTATCGAAGATACAGGTATATTAGATACTACCTTAGATACTCCTT